TCTAGGAACAAAAGAATTTTAAAACAATACATGGTTTTAAAAATATCAAACGTTATACTTTGTTTAAAAAAGGACATGTAAAAATTTTTTTTTTAATGACATTTGAAGGCAATCTTAAGTATTACGATTTAAAGACTAAAGAAAAGGCGATAGAAATATTATGTAAATAATTAATATGTATTCGCTTATACTTTTCCACAAAAAGTATTGTGGGTAAGGATTTTTTTTTAAGTTCTGTATTGATTATTGAGAAACATCCTAAATATGATTATGTATTTTTTAGAGATTAATTTCTTTTTAATTTATCATATTATATTATTCAGCAGCGTCTTATATATAAGTGTCATAAAACCATTACGGTTTCTTTTACATATTCAATACGTCACAAATGGATAATTTAATTTAACCTATCTCCATCTCCGAGTAATGACATACAAGCAACTTTACTTCCTTGAAAATTTAATGACTATTGACAAATGGATCCTTTGTATACAAAGTAGAAAAATATATAAAATGTAAATATGCACTACAAAAACAAAGATTAATTTAAATCGGGTACGGAAGTGCTCTGTAAATAAAATAATTATCATTGTCAACGTAAATAATATTATTGATATTGTAAAATATTCCACAAACCTTTGTTAAAAAAAATATAAAACGGGTGTAAATTTATATTCAGTTAAAAACGAACAATGGCGAAAACGATATTACTTTGGATGTTCACGGATTGAATTGTACGTTAGATTTGTATGAAATAATCGTCAGCGAGTGTTCTGATAGCATTCCATAGCACGTACGTTATACATATTTTTAATCACTATAATTGAACAGTACTATTTGAAAACGTGCCTATACATCACAAAAACATTAAAGTATTTGGAAAACTGATTCATTAATGATACTAAAACATATTAACAAATAAAATTCTGTTTAGAAAAGAGCAATATATTGCCCTTTAAGATGTATTTCGATTTTCTGCTTTGACAATTTATCTTATGTATAAAAGAAAGTTGTGTTATTTACACTATTTATAACTCAAGAACGGCTGTAGCGATATGGTTGTAAATTGGTGGGGAGATAGCTTAGAACCAGGAGCCGAACATAGGCTATTTAATTCATTTTTATCGACAAAAACATAATAAATTCTAAAATCTGGTTATTTACGGCCTTTGTGACGGAATAGAGTTCGTCCGGTCAGCTAGTCATATATGTATCACCAATTCCGAAATTTACGTGGACGAAGTCACGGGCAAAAACTTGTTGTATACAAAAGTTGTATTTATGTTTAAATAAACTTATGTCTATGGTTTCATATCCGACGTGACCTTCGCTGTAACTTCAAGTCAGAAAGTTTCAACCCGTTTTAATAACTTCAAAACTACGGAGAAAACTGTACCACTAATAACTTGCTTGGACGTTTCAGGATATTAAGTGCCACTTACATATTGCTAATTAATTTCAGTTTGGTTTAATTAAACTAATTGGATTCCGTAAACGACTAGGGCCTTTTGTTGCTTTGGAAATCATTTTTTATTTGAATACAAGGTGTCCTACTTCCATGTCGAAAATATGTATTCAAAACTTCAATGATACCCTATGTAGTTACAAAACTAAAGAAAATATACAATCATAATTAGTAAGTATTTTTTCGACTGCTTTTACTAATTTTACACCACATTCTTTTCTATATTATTATTATTATTTTCTATTATTGAAACTCATAAGCATAGAAAAGGGTGTTTTGTAACGTTGTAGAAGTATTCCTTTGATGCATTGAAATACATATATTGTGCTCGTGTCAAACAACAGACATTTTGAAAGTCTTCTTTGCTCAAGCAATTTGATATACGAAAGAGAACTTGTATCTATTATTCAAATAAAAACATATCAGTTTTAAAAACAACACAAAATATCTATAAATATTGTTTGTTAAATAAAATAAACCATTATTTATTTTAACAAAGTAATACTTATAGATTTCTGAGGTTTGATAAAATGTATTTTAATACAACATTATTATTTCGTGTTCGAGGAACGCTGAGTGTGTGGTGCGAATTATATTGAACAAAGAGAAAACGTTTTAATTTGGTGGTTGTTTTCACCATTACAGAGTACTATCGATTTATGCACCATGGTCATTGCGGTAATAATCATAATTCATCTGTTCTGGCTGATTAATAATCTTTATAAGTGGTGTGATGCTATAAAATTATTTAAATAAATAATTGATATAAGATACACTGTATTTAATTAAGTAAATCACTGTCGACATTTCGGTGTCCACTGTTTGGTATGGCAATCCATATACGGACGGGACTTGAAGCAAATTCACTTTATGAAGCTAGAATAATATGCTTTATAAATTATTATAACCTTCACTGTGTGGTTTGTCGTTTACTTCATTTCTTTTAATATAAAAAGCATAATAATCGACAAAAACAAGTGAATAAGAAAGCGCTCCGACTAACTTAGTTTTTCTATTGGAAAATTAAGTGTTGGTTTTTACATGCGTTGCATCCAAAATGTATTACATTATTATTGAAAATATTTAGTCCTTCTTATTTTTCTACGTTAAAAATATTATAATAGTAAAAATCATACGAATAGGACTAAATGTAAATATTTACTTCATTACATTTTGTCCTTGCCGATCTCTATGGTAAGCACTTTTCTGTAATTCTATTTAAGCTTCTTTCTATTGTTTAAAATCAAACAAATGTGTTAAGGAAAACTGTAGAAATGAAAGTAATTGTAAACATTTCTGTCAATTAAAATTATTTGATGGCACGTTTTCAGGTAAATAGGTTTTGAGGAACAATTTCATATTTAATTCAATTGTTTATATGGTGATATGGTTATTAATTTTAAAATGGTATAAAAGAAGTGCGATATTAGGGGTAAAATGGCCTCTAACAATTTTTCGTTTTCCCAGAGATTAATATATTTTATTTTAGATTTATTTAATTTCAGTTTTGTTTGAAAACCCCTTTTGTTAAATCATATTCTTGTCAACTATGAAATACATAGATTATGTGTATGTATCCAAACCTTCCTATTTTAAAATTTTTGCATTAAAAATTCAGTTGATCCGCCATTACCTTGATCAATTTTAAATCTGTAATGCTTTATTCCATTTTGGTATATTTCTACCAGAACGTAATGTGCGAAGGTTTAGGTATAGAAACAGAGATTTATATAATGCCACTTTTATCAATGATGCAGTATTATTTTAAAAGAGAAACTTTATTTCAATTCATCCAGTAATATATTTTAAAAAGAGAATCGAGAAATAAAATCAAGGAAAGCAATACTCAACGTGATGTTTTCTTACTTGGAATTAAATTCCTTCTTTTACCGTACTTAGAATTCTCGGTGTTATTCAGTCGTGACAGAGTCATTAAGACAATTAGTTCCTATTTTGATACCAGATATCCGTAAGACGTTGTGCTGTTGTAAAATAAAGAGATTGTAGTGTATCTGAAGTTATAAATTTCGTTTTCGTTCCCATAACAGATCGACTTCATAATATTAATATTTAAATGTACGCGTGAATTTTTTTTTAACGATGTTTTAAAAAAAACGTGAGGAATACTATATCTTTTATAAATGTGCTTGTTTATATACGTTGTATTAATAATGTTTCCTTGAGTCTATTTTATCTATACATATAATAAAATTGTAGAAAAGTGCTGTCTGTACATTGAAAACAAAAATAAAAAAAAATAGCAGGGGTTATTGTTATGTCGATGTCGAACCCAAAAATGTAATTAACTTTTTTTGCCTGTTTGTCTGTTCACGCTAATCTCAAAAACGGCTGATCCGAGTTGGATGCGGTTTTCACGAATATATTGTCGTATGCTTCAGTTATGCTTTAGTGTTTGTTTCATGTCAATCGGTTCATAAATAAAAAAGTTATGTCAAATTAAAGAATCACGTCGAACTCTATTCTATGCTTATACATATATACGATGGGTATACGTCTAATATTGTATATAGAGAAGCATTACAGTAAGTTAGCTACCCAAAATGACTGTGATTATGATCCAAAATAAAAATAAGTATATATTTAAAAAAAAAACGCTACTCATAGTCACTTTTCCACGCGAACGAAGTCGCGGGCACAGCTAGTTAAAAAATAAGTTTGAGTGTGAAATTAAAGATATTAGATATTCCTAGAATAATAACAATACAGAAAGAGACTAAGTATTGAAAAAAAAAAACTTAGTTTTGTCCTATCCTATCCAATTTATTATTCAGCATCAACTGAATTGTTATTTGAAATTTTCATTAACGTTTGACAGTCGATGACTGCTGATCCATTTTGAATTTTATATCACAGTGACACAAGTTACAATATTCGTTAATCTCACATAATTCCGTAATGTAGGCACCGTGGAATGATATTTGGTTTATTGATTGATGTATTGTTCCCTAACGCTCTTAGATTTTACCTGTTTTAGCAAAATATATAGCACATCAACTCTCGCTGTTAAGAAAATTTTAATAGTTAATTGAAATGATTTTGACATTGTTATTATATTATATTATCAATTTTATATTAAATTTATACTGTTAAAAACTGATTATTATTTTTTAAAAGGGTGACTGTAATTTTCGTAACCCACTTTAGTCTTGGCGCATTTCTGAAAAGTTATATAAAATGTAGCTAATGGACCAGATGGTTAAATTTTCACATAAATTTCATGAATTTTAAGTTCACTTAGGAGAATTTGTATAAAAAAAATATTTTATCGGAGCGGTCCGGTAGCAAGTTAAACTTTGGTTCATTTTCAAGATACGGTACGAAGATTACAATGGTTTTATCAAAAAAACTGAATTTTGATATTTTTTTTTCACATCAATATAACATTAATGATATAGAACTGACTTCTCTGAATTGTTGCAAAACTAATTATTTATACTCTAAGTATTTTGCAAGCTGATATATATCTCAGAAGAAATTTGTTGCGATTTAGATTCCCCTTTTCAACAATCGGTTTCTATAAGGAACTTTCCTGACGAAGCAAGTCTTGGGGGTTGTTCGTATGTTGTACCCAGCCGGCTGCGCGGTCAGAAGCGCCCCACGAAGAGGCAAACTCTTCAGTACCTCGTGCAACCGACGTATTAATGGACGTCTGCATTGCGTATATCGCGAGTGGTTGTGCATTTGATGCCTTATTGTAATTATAATAGAGCTCATTGGGCTATCAGTGTAAAAATTTCGTATTTTGAAATATCCCTTACATTTTTTTATATTAAAATAAAATTACAGTGTAAGTGTAAGTAGAATATAAAAGTACACAGCTGAAATTAAGTTGAGTTATCTTGACGAAATCCGTGAAATTTAACGATTTATAAGGTAAATAATAATAGTTTGCATTTTAGCGATCATAGTTCTTCATATTTTTTTCTGATTTTAGTGACGAATAAGACACATACATATAATCCATGATTTATATAGAAAATGTTCTCTTTGGATTAGTTTTCACTATTTTCTTTTTAATATGATTATACATATAATAATAAATCTGACTGCTATAAAATTATATTTTTTCTATTACATGAAGTCTTTTTTATAAATTTAAGAGCTAAAAAATGCATATTTATTGCAAAATAACACAATAGAAGTTACAAGACAGTAAGCTCGTCTCGTATAGTCAGCTATTAGGTTATTAATTATAATGCATCCAAGTAATTACCTTGAACGGTTTTGTTCTATTTAAACCTTAACGGGAAATATTAAATATTTTAGAACATTTATTTTTATATATTTTTCAAGGGGCATTTTGTCGCTATCTTCTTTTATGACGAATAAATGAATAGACTATTGAAGTAATATTAAATAATTATTTGTATTTAAATAAAACTAATTTTTTCGGATGTAGGTACTACGTTTTTTTATTATTTTAAACTACATACTCCCAACGTTTCGGCTACTTTGTACCAACCATGATCACTGGCAGACGAGATGAAAATGAGTATGTATTTTAAAATAATACAAAACACGTAAGTAGTACATGAAAAAAAATTAATACTTGCAAAATTATTAGATGTCATTATTATTTTTATATTTGTTATATAATAAATGACTTCCTTCATTCTATAAAAAAGTCTAAAGTTTTGTAATGAGTTCTATTTTTATAATATTCTCATGATTTATTAAGACGAAACCTACTGACAGAATTTAAGTAGCTTTATCTTCACATCATTTATTTTTTTACCGTTAAGATAAAATTAATTTACGAATATCAGAAATTCAAGCAAGTCACGTCAATTTTTTTTACATTTTCACTTGATTATTTCTTCTAAAACAATATAATATTAATTAGAACTAAACACTTTTTTAATTATAATGTAGTACATATTAAGTACTTAAATTTGTTTTAATTAAAATTGCGACGAAATAAGATACGTTATGTTATTTATCGTTAAATAAATTATTGCTAGATGGCTCACTTATTGTCGAAATTTTACATATATATACGAATATATAAATTGTTTTATAACTTGTACAACAAGTTATAAAACAAACAAATACAAATAAATGATAATATAAAAAATACTTAAACATTAAAAAATATTTTCTTTAATAATAAGTAAATTCAGAATTTTACTGAATACTGCGCTCGAAAATTTGAAAGTAAATTAAATAAGACATTTATTTTTTCTGTTCCATATATGATACCTAAATTTAAACTAATTTTATTTAAATTTAGTTATACATTTTACTTTACGACGCATTTTGGTCTTACCGGGTTTAAACAAATTTACGGATGGGTAAAAATTTGAGATACTCTTATTTGATGTCAGTATTTAATCGCAAGCAATAAAAAACTTTTTATTATTCTTTAGACTATTAATGTAGATTCTTTAGTAACTTGATACATTTTAAAAATTACGAATAGAATTTAATATATTTCTTTTCAAATATTAAGGCTTAATTTTTTTTTTAACCTTTCAATGCTGTAGGGTCTTGTAGTTTGCTGTAAGCAGAATATCTTGTACCTATACTTGATGGTAATATTAAAGTATTTTTTCTCGATGCTTTCGGAAATAACGGTCTTTTTTATTAGTCTTCCTACAGCGAGGAAGTGATCTTTTGTGAGTGTAACGTATCATCTTAGAAAATGAGAATAAATTTCTATGAGAAACTTATTTATGCGGAAAAGGCGCACATATTATTTCTTTGGATTTTTATTTAACTTTCCCGTTCTCTTTTTTATTGGACTTGTTTCTCCCTGAGCTCTGATATTTTCGTTGTTACAAATAAAATCGTAGATCTTAGAATTTTCAAGTTACATTTCTTAAATACTTAAGTCAGTAAATTACAAATAGCATACTGCAGTAATATTCTAACATGTAAGTTTTTCATTTTCTTATATTAAAATGTCTAAGATTTCCAATGGTATTTATGTGTGATTCACAAACGTTTAAATTTAAAAATCTTTCTAATACTGCTCATAGATTCTGCAGAGCTATTGTCGAAATAAAGAATAAACAAGTGCCTAGAATTTTAGAAAAATTCAATTGAATTCTCTTCAAAATGCATTTCTCGTTTCGCTATAGGAGTATTAGAAGATAAAGGCAAACTCATGGTATGTTGTTTTTAATTGAAGTACACTTTAACGAAGGGAGAATTGCCTCGTATTCCGTAGTGTAAATACAAAGTTCCTTTCACACAAAGTGCGCTACGTATTGTTTTATCCTCTTTAACATTAAAAAATCCGTCGGACCAATGTGATTCCTACGATTGCACTGCAAAACTGTATCTGTTTCTTTTTTGTATAATAGTCGTTGTTGACGTATTTCGCTCGTACCGTAAGCCGTACTAACTTGTCCTCCCACATACCAGCGAAATGTTTCCAACCAAAAACATTGGATTTTATTCGCACATCTCCCAGGGCAAAAGTTGAAGGGTTTGAGTTTGAAATTCTCAATTTTTAATTTAAACTCTCGAACCAACAAGTTTACGTTTTTAGATCTCAACCTTTTAAAATTTCTAGAACAAACTAAATCTAGATAAATCCAGTCAGTCATTACTTTAGAAAAATGAAGTTAAATGAAGACTTAAACGGAAAAAAATTGAAACGCTATACTTAAAATTGGTTACGGTTTTTAATGAGATAAAAAAATATTGGTAGGTAATTCGTAAAAGTAACATCGTTTAAAAAATTACATTTTTAAGTCAGTCTAAATTGTCATACTGTTTAATTAACGACTAAACAACAATAATTTAGTGTGGATTCATAAAAATTATGTTAATCACATAACTTTTTTTATAATAGAGATGACGTATCTCATTGTCGGAAGTCTGTCGAGCTAGATTACGATGGATTGAAGTCATTGAGCATGCGACCTAGTTTTACTTATTATAAATGGAAATGTGTAAGTTACAAGTGGGTTATATTTAAAACGATTACTTTATAAACAAATCTCTTAAAGTATTTGTAATGAAATAAAATCGAATATACGACTTGTCATTGAGGGTTTAAAGAAAGAATTCTATGTAGAAACATAATATGAATGTATATATTTTACGTCAGAATTATTTATATAATTCTGTTATGCACTTTCGACCTTTGAGTGTTGGGCGTGGGATTTCACTTCATTTAGAATTTTTACTTAATGAGTTATTCACTTTCAAAGGCTCTAGAGTCTAGATGCAGAAGTATGTAAAAGAGATTTTAAGCCTGTAGACTAATAATTAACTTTATGTTGAATAAGTCGTGTCTTTTAAATGTAATATTTTTTTTATTGCCCTTAGCACACTCTAGTGTTCCTCTTGTAAAAAACCTTGAATACGATTTCTTTGTATACAAAAAAGTCGTAGCACGAACAATTGAAAGTGTTTTCTCACAATTATATCTACAGAACTAGATCGCCTTCTTTGTGTTGGTTAACTTTAAGTTAGATCATATATACTCTTAATTAATTACGAACATTACATTCTCCTTTAGAAAATATCCTATTCGTCTCAGCTGAAATTCATTAGTAACAGGTTAGTTTCTTTTTAACAATCAATTAATCAATTGCGCGATCTCTGTCTGTTGCATTTTTTAATATAATTCAATTGGGTCCGCACTTAAGCATTATAATTGAATCTGCATGATTCAATAACCTCGCTGGTGAAATGTAAACTCGTTCAAGTTTCCAACTTAAAAGAAGAGTTGTTAGCACTGGATCATGGAAGTTCTTGATAATTAAAATAACTGGAGTGGAAAATATATTCATATTTATTTTATTATTGAAAAAATACATATAAAAATTGTACATTAAAATACAATGCATCTGTCTACGGCATTTAAATGGAGTCATAAGATTATTTATTAAAAAATAAGTTTTATTTTTACTCATTACTTAGAAAAAAATATTTCTAATGAATAGAATCGCCTTACAGTCTGTTCTCTTTAGTTTTTTCATATGCAACCAACCAATTAGCAATGAAACGCTCCCTATTTATACATGTCGGGGTTACCCAAGATTTTAGAAATAATACATTTTTTTTAGAAGCTTCTATTTAAATATAAGAATATCATGTTTAATTATTGTGACGTGAATGCACATCTTAAATCGCTCCCTACGTCTGCTATTTTGTATTCTGTTGATATTATGTCGAACATTTTTGTAATTCTATTCTACAACTACTCCTACTAGGAAATTTCTAATCTGTTTATAAATATAAGAATGACAATAACTACTAACAACAAATCATATGATTATTTACTCATTGTGTAGTTTCAGCTTGGAAATGTTTTACCTACGCTTTTTATTTACAAATAAGAAACAATAGTTTAATTATTTTATATATTATTTACTTTATATTAGATAATAAAGCTTCGCATAAAGCCTTGAACACGCTATCCACTGTCGTTTGCTTAAAAATCCTAGTACTGAAAAGTTATTGAGCTTATACCCTTCACAAAGCCTTTAAATAGCAGCTACGTACGCTAAATTAAGCAGTCTGTCTAGGCAATGTTTTAAAATGAACGTAATTAAATAAAGCTGCATAAAAACAAATTTACGAAACAGTTTACTCTTGATATGAGACAAATATAAATATTTTAATTCGGCTTACCTGCACATGTAACTGCTGGCGCCACCTCGGTTCGTAGCGCCGCTTAGTTAGATCAGCGCCACCTCGCGGAGCTTCTTGGAAGTCCATAGAGGCCGGTTGAGGTTGTAGTTCATCCTGATCCCTCACTTTCCTGACACGATCATCTATATAAATAGATGCAGAATCAGGTACATTTCCGAAATCTAGCAGTTTTTATTCCAATGTGCCCACATGTTAATGTTCTAAGAAAAAAAACGTTACTATTGCTGACAGAACATTCAACATCAAAAATGCTGATGTGCTCACTTGATGTGGGATCTCCTTTCAGTTATTAAGTTTTGAAGTTAACGTGTGGTTGTGTGTAAGCAATGATAATAACATAGTGATTTTTAAAAAGGTATGTTTAATTTTTTTTTATATAATTAAACATATATACCCTACGAGTTAAATATTGTTTTCGAGTTTAAACGTTTGTATTCCTAACACGATAGATCTATTGTTATATAAAATATATATTTTTAATCGAATCCAAATTAATTGTAGACGTTTGTTAGTGAATTAACTGCATCGAATATGAATTTACTTTACAAAAGGTCTAAACAATTCTCTATCTCAAAAACTATGTATAGTCTTTCGGCGCGTTAAAATTGGATTAATTGTTAATTAAAACATTTGAATATAAACAGACAGCTTGCTATCCGTAATGTGCACCCGACCGCAATAACCTCAACATTACAAACGAAATTATAAAAGAAGAATCTTATTTAATTTAATATAATGAATAATTTACTTAAATTTTTCTGATAAAGTTTTTGATATATTAAATCATTTGATCCCGCCTTCATACAATTGTTAACAACAATATGCTATTTGAATATAAATAATATTTAGTATCTTTTTATTGCCTAGTTAAAATCGTAACCATTTTTTTAATTTTAATACAGCTTTTCTATATTACAAAAAAGTAACTCTATAATTTCATATTAATCTTTAATTGCCAATACTTCTTTTTATCTATATAATAAATTCTTAATTATTTTATAAAGTGTAAGGCCTCGGCCTCGAATTTTGCGGGCAGCGGAGCGGCAGCGGGAGCGGCAGGATCTTACGCGTATAATCAAATGGACCGACCCTCGAATACAGCGGTGCCCGCTGCCCGCTATTTTGGAGAAATGTATGCGTTTCCGTGCCGGCGCCGCCGCCGCTCCGCTGCCCGCAAAATTCGAGGCCGAGGCCTAAAATCGTTGTATTTTATTTTGTCAAGTGCCTATCAGTTATATATATATATAATTTTTATAGATTAATTAGAGAATTATTTCTCATCGGTGATACAAAACTAACACAAATTTAAGTAAGAATCCTCCAAATATATATATAATACGTTTCCAAAATTTTATAAAAACGTGTTGAAATTTACGTCAGAATATATAATTATTTGATTTTCACTGTACCGAAACTAACAATAGATAAAGCTTTTAAATGTTTAGTATAACAAAGTGATAATTTTGAAAAATTATTATATGTAATACCTATTAGTACGATAATTTTATTTATCTTTTCATTTGAAGGATTAGACTCATAATCCTTTTTTGCTATAAACAATATTATATATAAACATAGGTTTGTTAACGATTAACACCAAAAAGAAATAGTTCAATGGAATCATTTCAATACAACAAAAAAATAACATGCTCCTAAAAAATAAAACATTTTATTACACCAAAGATTCATCAAGCGTGACTTCATGCTTTAGTTATAATTATTAGGAAATAAATTACGAACAGCCCTAATAAGTAATATAAATATGATATAGAATTTTTAATATACGTATTACGTATTGTCTTGTTGACACATTCTACTGTAATCGAATACATTGTTATATTTTTAATATGTTCCCAGTACTTATATATAAATTTACATTAAAATAATTAATTAATTTAAATTCTATGTCATATATCGCAGGAAGGTTATTTAATATATAGAATTTAATAGGTAGCTAGACAGAGGAAGAAAAGGCGAGAGAAAGAAACAAAAAATCGTAGAATATTATAATCATCGGCGTCACTATATAATTATATAACATATTAAAATACAATAAATCGACTTAAAAAATAAATATATACTAAGATATAAACATAACAATTGAATCTGTTTATTGGAACGATGCTTATATTTCATAGGAATTATAAAAAATAAAATTGCGGGACATCAAAAGCGTAACTTATAAAGAAATTGGTAACTTCATTCGACAACAAACATTCCTTACTAACTACGTACATTTAACATTTATTAGATATACATATACAGCAAGGAGATTAAAATCTCGTTATATCATTCAATGTCATTTTAACGAAAGCTTCTTTAATGTTTAATCAATAAACTCATAACATTATTATACTGACGTAATTATTGACATTGAGTGACGCTACCACAAGACTTCTCTTAGAATTTTTATTGAATTTATATCTATGTATCTATAAACTAGATTAATTTATATCCGTCATTGAATTTATGAATAATATTTCTTCAAAGAAGTCCCGTGACGAGATTATTTAAACTAAATAACAGTTTTAAGAAATAGCCTTTAATGATATCCAAGTTTTTCGCGAGTTACTTTTTACGAATAAATCGAATATCAGAACGTATTATACTCAATATTTTGATTCATTATCTAATGGCCTAAATAACAGATTAAATACTAATTGCGTTAATTATTATCAAAAATTTTGTATAAGAAGTATTAAGAACTTATATTACCCCACCAAAAAGGCGTATGCCTAGTATAAGTTTGCATTGTCACTCTTCATACGAATAGTTTCTAGTTTTTCATTGACAAATCTGCTCTTAATAGTATTGAAGTATGTTTAAGTAGGTAGGTATTAATGGAATTATTTTCTTATCTTCGATGCGATGCAAACTTGGACTATGCATGTAGTTAACGCTTGCATATGCAGGCGTATCCACGTTATACCAATATATTATTTAAAAATGTATTCATATTAAGTTTATCTTTGTATTTCTTTTGAATTTTTCTTACAAGTGAATGAAGCAAGCGTTCCCATTTGGCGTTATTGTGCAGGCTGGATGAGCAGCCTTAATCTTCACCTGAAATTTAATATAAAAAATTATAGACTTTCGAACCATTATCTCCAAACAATAAAAATTAAAATGAGTAATATAGGATTAAAAGTTCACCGAAACAGGCAGAATTTACTAATTATACAGAAAAAATATACAAAATGAAACTATTTATTTTTTAACTGAAAATTTTTGTACTCTGGATCAATAATCCAGAGTTAACATGTCGTAAATCAGAGTTGTAGTTTTTGGGTTACACTGTTTAATAGACCTACATCTTCCTTACACTTGAAGTTTACAATGTTTATCAAATTTTATTAATGTATTTTATGAAAACATTTAAACTATGTATAACTTGGATGTGAAATATTCAAATTGCCACTACTTGTAATACTTAAATCCGTATTACCTTATTGACACGAACTGGTGGACGTTCCTTAAGTTTTTATCTGAAAAGTCAAAGAACTCGTATTACGTAAAACCCAGCAACAATTTTTTTATCTAATAAAAATTATTTTGATATAGCAAACAAAATTTTTCTAAACTACTTTACATAGACATATGTAAATAAACTTTTCCAAAAGTAACACCTCTTTTTTCCTCTTTAAATCATTAGAGGTATTCGGAGCTGGGGCAATGGACATTGATCGATATCATGACTAGTATTGGGCAATACAGTGCGCAATTTATGCGCAGTAGGCCCAACCGCGTGACACAGATTATTTTACTTAAACGATGCATTTCATTTGCCGTTATGAAACGGAGAATTATTATGTGACAGCATAACAAAACCGATTCTAATGTTGTCATATCATGTTATGTCTTGAGCAATACAAAAAAATTTCATTTGTTATTTGCATTTAATTTTAAATTATTGTTAACTCTTTAAGCATATTACACGTGCCAAATTACAATTAGCAATCACAATGAGGCAAAAAGTTTTACTTCTAACAGCGAATTTTATATATTGTTATTGTCTAATTTCCATTTGTGCCCTGGCTTTTGTTTTTTTTTTACACTATATATGTGTTTTCGTGTATTTGGAGTTCATTTTAATAATAGAGACATGATCAAACAATACCAAAATATACAAAAGAAACTCGCCATATAAAATGTATAAATATTTAATGAAGCTCACGCAAACAAAAATCTCTGCTCTGTTTTTCGGGCGGCTCATACCCCGATTTCTAATAATTATGAGATGAAAATCTTTTGATGTTATTTGAATCGGTTCTAATAAATTCGACGTGATTTACAATTCATCACTTATTTCATTTAAATAATCAATTTCTTCAGTTTATAAAAAAAATATCGGCATAAATTTTACAGTTCATAAATTTCATAGTTTTTTTTTATTTGGAAAAGATATGAATGTAAAGTAATGTGTCAGAAACGTTACTTTTGATCAAAATGACGTATTGGTTTTTAAATAAATTGTAAGGCGTTTGAGTATGTAAATATAAAAGTAATCGGGTTTAAAAATTTCAAATATAAATTCATCTTTTGTGGGTCACTGACACAAAGAATGAGTGAAAAATTCGCTTGTTGCCCCTTAATTAAAAATTTGTTATAATAATTACAAATATGTATATCATCAACATTTTATAAGCCCTTAGAAGTAACAAAATATACATATATATTGAAAATATCATTGTACTAGTAATATAAGGTTCCGCTTTGCATTATAGAAAACGATAAAAATATATAGTGGCGTTAAATACTTACAATTTATAACACAAACGAAGGCGAACTCATTAGGGGATCATCTTTTTGCCACAGAAGCCTTATATCCGCAATAAAATCCTCTAAACACTTAATCTCTTTTGGGAGCTCTTGCTATGCTTTTCCTTCGAAATGCACAGTATTGATTGGCGCAAGTGCACTAATTTTTTTTCTTCTTGTTATAATTGTCGCCATCTATCGCGGGGTTGGTGAGTGAATAGCTCGCTTTAAGTTTCTCCATGAACTAGCGCCATCTATCGCATAATATTATAAATGATCACAGTTTGAGCTACTCCCAGCACCATCTGCCTCATGTTGCCTTAAATTAATTAGTGTTCAAATACGCCACCAAATGGGGCGAAGCTGTGGCGCTAGTGTATATTTTAGAATAAAAAAAACATGATTAAAGACAGCCTACGGAAACTAGATGTCAGCACTATGCTTAAAGTGAAAACGATTCCAAAGTGATATTTGATAGCAAACACTTGTACAATGATGAGGCTAAGAGTCCATAAATAAAGATATATATGTGTATATATAATTTCTAACAATTGAAATTCTTGTCGGCTCTTGCTTATAGGACTGCATTTCGGAACTTCCTTCATGTACATATCTAACTTATTCCCATTCTTGACTTTTATAAATCATACATGTAATTCTGACTTTCAAGACTGGTTGGTAAAATTTATTTCAGTACCAAAATTTTTATTTAAAAAAAAATTATGAAATTCAATCACTAATGTATATTAACAAAAATATGTAAATAGAAATTTTTTCTTCCGCAAATTTAGGATAAAACAAATGCTAAATTTAAAATAAAACAGAATTTTTAATATCCATCCATTTACCCAAACTATTAACGTTTAGTGTATAAAAATGCCTTTTTGTGTTTAAATGTAACGTTATACCTTTTGAACTTATATATACACATATGTAGGTACTAGCTTCCTTTTAAAACCAAAAGTATTGTATTCAATGAAGAGACATTTTTGCAGAACATAATACATAGGTACAGACACATAATAATTTCACGATGTTTGTCCTGTATGTGTAAGCAATATTGAAATACTGTCAAATTTTTATACAGGAAGAGTTTTTTCTTTTATGAGAGCAGCTTACGTACAATATTACTCGAAACATTCTACGTTAAAAGCACTTTTAATATAACAAAGTGGCCTTTGTACGATACTCCTAATTAAATTTGGACGATCGGTTGCCAGACAGTAACTTTCAATAGGATTCCTTTTGGTCGTCCTTCATAACTGAAAATAAAAGAAACAAAATGCTAAAAAATTTCAATATTCCAAGTCTTCCTCTGTTAGTTACCATCACACAGAGAATAAGGATTTCCGTTATTAGAAAACATTCAAATTGCGACTAGATATTTTCTGTGTTATTAAAAGTAAATTATATTTTTCACCATAATTATAACAAATTCATGCAAAATATTTATTTTTAAAGTACGTATAGAACATAGCCGACGATTTTGTTTTTAAAGAATACAGTCAGTTATGAAACCATATAAAATTAAAATACCCATAAGGATAAGATAGAACTTATCAAAGGGAATACAACAATACAAATTAGAAGTTCTGTCTCTAAAAGATTACAACATAATTGGTTAACAGAAAGCTTTGTTGTTAGCAGTTAATTTAAGCGCCGCAGTACCATGCGGAAAATGGATTCGTACATATCTTCAAGAACAAGTGCTATAGATAAAATATTTTTATGTAAACAAAATATTTCACATTTCAAAAATGGATTTTAAAATAAAACAGTGCAAAATGAAATATTATACATGAGAAAGTGGTTTGTGCAACGAAAATGTGGTGTGAATTTAATAAAAGATAGGACAATGTTTTTTAAAATGTGTTTAATATGTTAATGAAAATGACTATAACAAAATGTTAAGTAGGTGGAAAAGTAAAGACAAGTCAGAGAAATCTGGCAAGTCTTCAGGTTCGAGTAGTAAGAAGAAAAGAAAAGGTCGCGACAATGGTAAGTGTACCGAATGGATGGCTAATAAGTAGTATTGCTGTCTATATTGCGGTTACTTTTCAAAAAATATGCACGATGTTAATTTGGTTGTTGTGCACATATGTTAATTATATACTAGAGTCCAGTTTTATTTTTATTTAAAAGCACATTTTTATTTCTTATTCTCATAACCTACTTTATTTTATCTTCACTATGAATATTGAAATTTTTCTAATAGTGGGAAATATGATAGAGATTAAAAAAGCATGCTGTGACTCTTTCTATAAGTAATGTTGCTGTCCTAATGAATCCCATATAAGTTTTCTTATAAAGGCCGATTTTATTTATATAATCGTATTTTAAGCATAACTAAAAATATACATTTATGATATTTAATTAAATTTTTCGGATGCTAACAGTTTTTTGAAAGAGAATTTCATTTGGTCTGCTTATGACCACAGTAAAGGAACCGGAACGTCGAGCCATGTTTTTATAAAACACTTAGTATTCTATAAATTTAGTTTCTTTTAAAATTAAAATAAAAAATGTAGTGTACATAATATATTCAATGGTTATTAGCGTGCTTACTGTTACAGTTTTCAAAACACAATCTCTTATAACTGTTTCTATAGACAAAGGTTAAGATGTCTTAAAAGTGCTTAAAGCAAATTTGTACCGGTAATATAAGTTTGACACATTCGCTTCGATTAACAAGCCAAAGTTCGACCGCACAGAAAATTGCTTCCATCGAGTCTGTAAAATGTTAGCAAGTGACGCTCACTGTTATTACAAACTAATTATATCATTTATTAATTGAACAGTGAAGAGCATTTCAGTTTAATAACTTCTTACAATTCAATGGCTCTGCAATTTATAATTGAGCAAGATACCTCCTTTATTCTCTCGTGGATAATTGAGGATTATAAGAAGAATGAACTATTAAAAGAATATGTAGATAATTTTCCAAGAAGCGTTTTATAAGTCGCTATTTCATAGAATGGTTCAAGTTGGATTAATCAAATTATTGAAAATTCTATTATTGCATTTAAACATACATATAGGTTAATTTTATTAAAGTAGATTGATTTAAACCAATAGATACGTTATGACTACTGATGGAATATTAATGTTTAAGTATAATTTGTTATTATTATCATATTATTACTGCATGAATTAATTTAGAATGCCTTTTATGTTATTTAAATTAAATTATTATATTATTCATATAAATATATATTTTTTTATTTCTCTATCTTTTTGTATTAATTGTTATGACATGTTTTATATAAAATAGATTATTTGTTAATGTGAATTGAAATTTCACACACAATTCATTTAAAATCGATGTAGTATTGTTAGTTATTAGGTATAATTAGTCCAAATAGTTTCTTATCTACATAAGACTTAATACATTTATTTGTTCCAGAAGAGGACTGGCAAAGCGATCCTAGACTTGACGGTGAGTAGAATATTACTAAAATATTAGAAATATTCCAAAAAAAGCATATTTTCATACAATTATTATATGACAAAATTATAAGCAGTCAAAAGGTTTCCTCACGTGTTAAATGTTAAAGACATTAGACCTAACACAAACGTACATATTAAATTCTAATTCTAGCTTCGATTTTGTATTCCTATTTAGTATTTTTGTATAACTAAAATGATTTTTCTTTTTCACCTTAATTATACTAAAATAAAAATCTTCGTTATTCTAATTTAGTTAAATTAGTTCTATGATCCAAATCTTCATAATGAAGTATCCTCCTACGATTATGAAGGCTTTGTTTTGTCTTAACTCCAGTAATTTGTTCTTTGTCTTCATAATTTAATTACTAGACAATATACACTCCTTTAATTGAAAGGACTTTTTCTACTGTAGTGGTTAATATAAGCATATACAAGAGATATATTGAACCATTTTTTACCCGACAATTTCATTTTATGTTCCAAGAGTCCATAGTAGAATGTAGCTAAATGAAACCAATTTGGTTTATTCCTGCTTTTATTGGTTTAAATTAAATGATACATAACGTTAGCATGAAGTATTCAGACGCAAGTCCCCTTTATATTCTCTTTTATCAATTATTTTTGCTCTTTTTTTCAAATCTCCCCTGTTCCGACGGCACAAAAACGCCGTCCCATTTTCCGTTAGCAACAGATTTTTTTTTTAATTACTCAAAGAGATCAGAGGTTTTGGTGATTTTATTTTTATCGTTTAACAATTTCAATCACCAGAAGGTAAATTATAAATATCTTTCGTGTATTTTAATTAATTTGAAACTTTTAGTTTTCAGTGCTAAAATAAGTGTACTAGTTTATTATATGAAGTATTATGAGAAAGATGAAACTTTGACGGGGAAGGTTTTGTTAAACGAAAATGCACTATTTGAGAGAAATCGAGAAATCGATAGTGAAAATGTATTAACTGAAGGAAAATATACATACCTATTTATTTAAATAGCATCGTGACAATTTAGTTAATAAAAAATGTTTTTAAATAACCGTCATGACAAGGCGCCCACGGCTGTTTTCATTTATCCTTAATTTGTGAGAATATTTTAAGAGAAAACAATTTGTCTCTTCTAAAAGATTAAATCTACATGCCTGCTATTATGTAATAGACAATACCCTCCAACTAAATTTTGATCAGATCACTGGATATGAAATCTATGAAAACCTTTGATATGTTATTTTCTACACGATGATACATATAGGTTTCGGCACATTGAAAGGTAATGTAAATAAAAATATCTTTAATTTATATGTAAAATAACAACCAAGTACGTACTATTACACGATAATTCATCACGGGAATAAACCGTCTAAAAACCCTTCAGTGTTTCGTACGTTGTAAGCTATTAACTTCGAAGAAAATAATTTTCTATAAAAACTTCATATTTTATAACCGATAATTAACAAAGTTTTCATGACGTCAGATTTTATAACATGGCTGAGCGTAAAGATGTTACGTCTACGGACGTTCCCTGCGGATAAAAAGACTAAATAAAAAACATCGAAGCGTTCAAAGAGTTTCTATAAGAGAAATATCTGCGAAGAGCTTCTCGAACAGTGTTATGACTTCATTACCGCAACGAGAAACATCCTTTTACACTTCTAATTTTATTACTGCTAATTCTATAACTTTATTGGAAAGTAAATTTACAAGGTATTTAAATCTCTGGTCGTATTTTATATGGACAATTTATAAGTAATAATAGTAGTGGTAAATAACACGTTTTTGTTTAAGCTTAAATCGTTTAAGAGAACTTTGTTTGTTCGTAATATTTATAGTAACAAGCACTGAAAGTGGTCATCCGGTACGTTTTCTCCCAAATATAGATGTAAATCATGTGTGAACAATGTTAGTCTTTAAACCAAAAGAATAGATATATATTTGTAACATAAGGCCATGTGAAGCTCTTCAACATTACTCTCGAGCTTCACAGATTTGAACAGATTGTACATTTTAAGTAAATCCTAAAAATCTCTCAATACGTATTTGAATTAATAAAAGAATGTCGCTGTCGCGACTGTTTCAAAGCATTGCTACAAAATGTTTTACTTGAAAGATACAAGTTTTCTTACTTTAATCCTCTTTTCTTGTATCAAAGGTACAAAAAGCTTTTGCATTTAAACCGTTACCGCAAACAGAAGGTAATCGGTTTCCATCGGCATTCTTTACAAATGAAAAGAGAGCTGAAATACTGTTATATATTCACTACAGGCTTCTCACTAGATGCATACCAACTGAGCACAATGGTACTGTTTATCCGATTTAAAGAAAGTGCTTACAAAGAAAATATAGTTTTATTTGAATATTCTTTTAAAAACAGTATGATATTCAGAAATTATATATGAATTTATTCATTTGTGTACCTACAGTATTGTAAATGCAGCGTATATCATAATTCATTGCACCTGATCGCGTTGTTATCACCTCATAAATATATTCAAACGATGTTTCATATAAATTTTCATTGATATTTGATTATAACTACTCATTGAAATTCATTTACTTTCATCAAATTAAACGACGACTACTATTTGTAAGTGATTTGACAAACGAAGTACATTTGGAGTAAAACCAAAACTGCTTGTAAGTTTTCAAATAATTATCGGCAATCCTAATAGTCTGGGTTGATTTGTGTTCGCTTGTTTTGGTTATATTGCTATGGTCCATTGTAGACTGAGGTAAAATCAATCCCCTTCATATAACCCCTGACTGTCTGTTTCCCCTCACAGATTTGATGCCAGTTAATATCCCGCTCAAAACATAATAAAGGTTTCGTTCTGAAAAAGGTTATTAAATTTTGATGCAAAAGTTAATGTATTTATTTAATAATAAAACTTTATACATTACACTCTTATCCAAAACAGGTTATTAAGAAACGGTTATAAATGATTACTTTATTTACATTTGTCTGTGAATTTAATTTTTGTTATATATTTAATAAATCATAAAACATTATATTTTTATCTACCGCTTTCGATTTTAATGCTACAATTAATTGCCCTCATTCGATTATCACAAAATGAAAACAATGAATTATATTTGTCGGAAATCCATTTCATTATACTCACTTCTATTATATTAATTTGAAGAATCATTTTAGTTATTAAAACGCAACAGCCAATTTATAAACGATATTAAATTAATATGTATAACTTTTTTACTTCAATTAATAAGAATTCTAATATAATTAGAGTTAACAACTTAAGTATAAAGAAAACTTTGAAAAACAAACAACAAAATAATGTTTTAATAACAAAAGAGGTACTTTTTATCAGACGGTTGAATCAATTCTTTTAACGATTGTATGAATAAAACGTATAATTTACATAATATTTTATATAAGTCTAGACTAATTATAAAAGATATATAATGCTTAATAATAATAAATTTATAAAGGCAATTATGTATTGACTTAAAATAGTGATTGTATAATAATTAATGTATTTCCATTCATTAGGTAGGATGTAGATCAAGTAGCAATCTAGAATAAACATATGGATTAAGTGGCAATAGAATATAAAGGTAGTAATTATTAAATTAAGTTCAATATATTATTTTCTTATTTTTAATTAAATCCAAAAGTTTAAAAAGTACAATCCAACTTGATTAATCTCTATAGCGGACTTTAGCTCTAATTATAACGATTTCATTTATAATAAAAATACTTTTCATAGATAACTGACCCAAAGGAAATGAAGTAAGAAAAACTATAAAAACTAATTATATGTATTAACCAAATTAGTGTATAATAAGAAAAGATCTTAGCTGAACTCATCGTTTGGTCAGGTTTCCTTCATTAAAGAAACAAATCCAGTACACCCACAAATATTTTCAGTTTTAATTCATAAACCTACCTTTATATCATATGAAAAGATTAATAAATGAAAAATATTTTTTGCTTGATATTTTTCAAGTATCTCAATTAATGTTTAAACGTATTAAACTGTTTTTTTTATTTTCCATTAACAAAAAAATACCCTCTATACCCACTTGAAGACCTCATCGAAGCGAAGAGCTATTTGATTATAAATTGATTAGAGATAATGATGAATAATTAAATATAGTTCAGAATTCTTCTGACAGAGTAATTAAAGCTTATTAAAGAATTTTAAACAGAATCTATATAAAAATAATAGACCTAATTTGTAACATGTAAGTTTCATCTCTATGCTAGTTTTTGAAAATGAATCTGTCTTTTGTGGTCCATTACAAATTTAAGCAGTGTGTTGTTGTTTAACAATAGACATGGCAACAAACCAGCAGGAATAAATATAGTGTGCGTCGCGTAATCCTATATATATATAACTATGACAATTGAAAGACAAGCACACATCCATAATTCGATACACTCGTACAAATTGTCGCATTTAGGTTATTCTTACAATTAATTATATTATTTCCCTCACAATAATAATAATAATTTAACTGTTTTAAACACATTTGCATAACACTATTCCTGGCTAATTATATATGTGTCTTATAAAATACCTTCATAAAACCATATTCATGTAAGATTTTATTACATGTGCAAATAAGTCTAAAATTAGTTTCTTGTTATTAAGTGCAGTTCATTTGTTATTCATACTTGCGAAAACGTGCTATGTATACCCGCTAAGTTAAAATGAAGGAGATATTTTAACTTCAAAGGTCTTAATTATCTTACAATATTATAAATTGTCTGCAATCAATACAATCCCAAAGATATTCGTCTTAGGGTCACCGCAGGTTGTTGGTCATACCCAAGAAATCATGCTTCAATTTGGTTCACGCTTGTATAAACTCTTGAAAATTGTTTATAAATACGACACAGATATATGTATATATAATACATTTAATATTAAAAGCACAATTTTGAATGTATCAAAATAGCGTTCCGGACATATTCATACCAAACATATGTACATATGCTTTCAGAACTAGTTTAATTAAACTAAAATAATATG